TGATACGTATAGAAATTTGTATTCGTACATATACTAAGGCTCCATGTAGCCATATAGTATATACTTAGGCCTTAAAGGGGTTCCTATATAGGTACTTTGGGGGCAACGTGTGTACTATATGGCTACATGGAGCCTTAGGGATATGTGTACACGTATTTATGTATTTCGAATGATGTACTGATCATATTGCATATGTGTATATATATATATATATGTTGTATTGAGATTTAATATACCGTGTATATAAATATGTACGCACTTTCTATCTACGAGCCGAACCTTTACCATCATATCGCATGTACGAGTGTATATACGTATACCTAGTTATTAGTTCTCTCTCTATATATATATATATATATGGACTTTAAATTTATATACATTATCTATGTACATGTATATATAGATGTATATATCGCTAGCAAGGTGATCTAGAAAGAGATCCCAAGCTCTTGGGTAAGATCAGCAAAGGTATTGTATATATATATATACAGATAGAGATATAGATCGATATTAGATAGCTAGATAGTATGATAGGAGTCGGTTGTATACCGATGACTAGAAAGATAGTTAGCATTGTCTCTACCGTAGCACAAAACTCTAGGTCGTGCTAGACCTTGCACCGCTGCCAAGCAATGTAACTGCATCACCTTTTCGAGCTTACATGGTGATTCGTACAAATCGTAGAGTTACCCTAATTATGAGGGCAACCCCCTAGCTCCCTAATCCTAAATCACTAAAACAAAAACTATAGATACAACACCTATACAGCCTGGATAGTATGACTTACTTGTATGATTCGTTCCAAGGAAGCATTGCCCGCCGCTGCCGCCGAAGCGCCCGCCGCCGCGGCTGGGGCGTCCTGAGATGACTCAGAGGCCATTCGTTCGATGGGGTCACGGGGTGTAGGGTCTGTTGTATATACTACCTTTGTGATGATGTGGAGTCTAGGGCGATTCAGGAGGCTATTGCTGCGGCGGTGTTGCTGTTCTAGTTCTAGATAACAGAAGGCGGATAACATTTGCCGGCGGGGTTTGGCTAGCTTGACACCACCTCTCGGGCTTGTTCGCGAGCTGGGGACACCTGCAATTGTAGCTTCGGAAGCAGAATCATTAAGGGTTATTGATCCAAGTGGTTGACCTAGAACGAAACACCTATTTGCCACATTACATTTGGTGTCTTATAAGACAAGAAGGGTTTGGTGTTCGGGTCTACACGATAAATACCTCCGAGATCGTGAAACCTGGATCCCTAAATGTCGGTTCGACCGTACCGAAGAAAAAGCCTGTGCTAGTTGATATATTTCTCCTATCTTATAAGCTAGTGGGTTTATAATGCTTATGTTGTTCATGTGGGTATATTAGTATATATATATATATGTATATATATATATAGATATAGATATAGATATAGATATAGAGTTATGTGGTTTTATGGCAGTCGACCTACATGCAATGGATCGGAGGTAGTACTTTATTGCGAATCTATCTGTGGCTTACATATGTACTGCATATATACATATACATATGTATATGAACCCTATCCGTAGGACCTATGCCTTAGGGTTCTGGTTGGGGGGCATTAGGGAAGCTATGTGGCCGGAGCATAGCCGATATGTCCCAAGAACCGATGCAGGAATCAATAGAACCAGTGTAGGCCCTCATCTGTGATTCGTATTACCTGGGACAGGTGCTTCAAGTTTCAAGCATTTCGTGAAGCTCGACTAGGTGTCTCCTGGCAGTACCCTGAATATAGGTCTTTCCCCCCCAATCGCAAACGCAGATATTCTAGGGCCCCATACAAAGCTGGACCTCACATAATACCCCCTGAACCAGACGCCCCAAGCTGATGTAGTGTTACAGCTTAGCTTGATGGAGTATAGCAACCGTAGTTCAGCACTTGATAACAGTATTGTTCTTTGGCCCTCATTATTCCGAAAGAACAAAGCTGGGTGGGCGTTGAGTTGACCAGGAGGTATCTGTGCCCGCTAGTTATCCTAATTGTTAGAACATCAACCAGGCAGCTTCACAATACCCCCCCACCCCTATATCAGCTCTACGTCGTGTAATAATAAAGCTATAACCCGAAGGATGGGAGCCAGGGCCCGCCGTGCGCCCGATCGCCGATCGCCAGCCTGGATGATGACAACCGTGGCTGTTTTACAAGCAAATTAGATTTAATTCAGGAGTGGTGCTACTCCGACACCCCTCGCTCAAGGGAGCTGGCAGAGACCGGGTAGTTCTCAGGTGTCAATGTCATAAAATAACATACATGTACGGTTTCCGTGATTGCAGTTGCTGCGAGATGGGGGGCTGCTGATGCTCGGCCAAATTCATGCCTGGCCGCCAATTCAGAAGACCTAGAGATCTGTTTCAAATGCGAGGTTGTTTGAGAAAGTTAAGATCCGCCTAGCGAACAATCGTTGTGATCTGACACCAGCCCCGAACCTTAAACCGAATCAATGCTTGCAATACCAGGAAATCATGGCAGCTAGTCCGAATATTCCTGGTAAAACCACAGCCCAGGAGCCCATCCAACTAACCCCCACTAAACCCGAATAACCCCCCAAAGTCTCCCAGAGCTAACATATCAACCCAAATATCCCTGAATAACCCTCTTCATTCTTGTAGCCAAAACACACCAAAAAAGCCACTAAACCCCACTAACCCCCACTAACCCCCCAAAGTCTCCCAGAGCTAACATATCAACCCAAATATCCCTGAATAACCCTCTTCATTCTTGTAGCAAAAACACACCAAAAACGCCACTAAACCCCACTAACCCCCACTAACCCCCCAAAGTCTCCCAGAGCTAACATATCAACCCAAATATCCCTGAATAACCCTCTGGATTCTGGTATCCATACCACACAACAAGCCCAATAACCCCCACTAACCCCTAATAACCCCCCAAAGTGTACCAGAGCTCACATATAACCCAAAATATCCCCCAATAACCCTTATAAGCTATCCTCAGCAGTATAGGAGGGCCGAGATGTGTTGCAACTATGGTGCAGCCCCCAACGGCATTGTATGAGCCAGAGCCAATCCCTAAACTATCATGATCAGTGATGCATTGCAACTGATTGATCATCGCAGAACCTGACCGTTGCAGTGATTCTTTTGCTTGAAATTGTGGGCACTGCGAGCTAGCTTGCTTTTGCCCCTCATCAGCTATGCCCCCGAAGGCTCCTCTATGCATGGCTTGAGTTGTGCTATCCGTGTGGCTTGTTCTAGCCGTTCTAGTCTAGTATATGTCCCTGGTTCAGGGCGCGAAGAAAGTGGCTGCTGAAGTGGAGAAGGCCATGCAAGGCCTCGGCGCCTAGTCGATGTCAATCCGTATGCGTCAGAGACATGATATTGTACGCATGCATGCACATTATTAAAGACACACACACATGAATAAATACATATATGTATGTGTATACATGTATATGAACGATGTATGTGTATGTGTCAGCATATGTATATGAGGTTCACACATATCGGTAACAAGTGTACACAGGTATCTGTGTATATACCAGTTAAGTCAAACAAATATGTATGACTATCCTTTATGCGAGAACTTAGTGTCTAAGCCGAGGTATCTCGGCAGATACTGGGGGCTCAGGGGAGCCCAAGGCAGCCCCACGTGTGAAGGCGGCTGCGAAGAAGGCAACGGCACCTGTAAAAAAGGAAACGAAGCCGAAGGAGACCCAGAAGAAGGCGGCAAAGGAGGTGGAGCCGAAGGACGATGCATCGATTCCCAAGCAGCCGCAAATGCCGATCTCGCAGTTTATGACAAAGCCTGCTGCTGCTGCTATGGTGTCGGACTTCTTGGATAAGAGCTACGGTTCGAGCCACCTTTCGCCGGCAAAAATCAGGCCCACCCAGAGTACGCCGATCAAGTCGACTGCGAGCACACCTATCAAATCCCCTTTTCACAAGAAGGTGAAGCTGTTTGGCAGCCCGGGTGTGGCAGCTGGTTCCGTTGAGGCTGGCCTTCAAAGCTTATTATGAATATGTGTTGAAGCTTCGGGGAAGTTTTACGCATGTGTACGTGTATATGTTATTTTAGATGCCATGTATGAGCTCATATGTAGGTTAATACCTCAGGTTTTGTACACAGCTAGTAAGTTTGATGGTGATGATGAGGATGATGAAGATATATATATATATATATATGTGTATATATATATATATGTATGTATATCTACATATATATATATATATATATATATATATATATATACATATGTGTATACATGTATATATGTACATATGTATATATGTATTTATGTGTATGTGTATATATGCATGTACATATATATCAACATATACATACATATATATATATAGTAATGGTAGTAGTTGCAGTAATCGTGGTAATAGTAGTAGCAGCAGCAGGAGTAGTAGTTGATTTTTGCGGCTTTGGTGGTGTGTGGTGGTGGTGGCGGCGATAGTATAACTACGGTAGCTTATTAACTTTTTATGTTCGCTGTCTGTGCACGAAAACACACACACACACACACACACACACACTCTCTCTCTCTCTCTCTCTGTCTCTCCCTAGATCTCTCTCGCTTATAATAATTATAGGCACAGAACTACGTGTGTATATAAATATATACACATACATATGTGTGTGCATGTATATGCATATATAATGTATATGTGTGTGCATATGCTGGTGTACAATACAGTAGAGCTGTGGTGCCAGGTATACATACATATACACATGTACACACACACATATTACTATCAAGAACTGTAATTGCAGATTCTGCATCTGATCTTCATATATATGTATGTGTGTATGTATGTGCATATGTACATACAAGCATGTGGGATTCTCACTTGGGCACGAGGAGACCCAGCAAGAGGCAGGGCCGGAGCAGAAGAGCTCCGAGGAGCTATCTGTATGTTTTTCAAGACCAGGTTTCCAGACTATTAGTAGTTGGGGTTGTAAGAACACAGACCCAGATAGATTCTTATACTAATGGATTTTTTTCAATCGCCTGGAAGGACACAATGCCAGCAGATGGGGATGTGGATATGCTGAATGGACAGCCGACGGAGCTTGCCACACTCATGGAGCTCGACGAGGAGGCTCCTGATCCGAGTAGTAGTTTGGAGGCCACGCAGATGATCACAGAGCCGCCGATCGCTGAGCAGAAGGCTTTCAAGGAGATCGCTGAGCAGCCGCTTGGTGGTGTGGCTACCCTGGGGTCCGAGCAGAAGGCTTTCGAGAAGATCGCTGAGCAGCCTGGTGGTGTGGCTCCTGTGGGGTCCGAGCAGAAGGCTTTCGAGAAGATCGCTGAGCAGCAGCCTGGTGGTGTGGCTCCTGTGGGGTCCGAGCAGAAGGCTTTCGAGAAGGTCGCTGAGCAGCAGCCTGGTGGTGTGGCTACCCTGGGGTCCGAGCAGAAGGCCATCGAGAAGATCGCTGAGCAGCAGCCTGGTGGTGTGGCTCCTGTGGGGTCCGAGCAGAAGGCCATCGAGAAGATCGCTGAGCAGCAGCCTGGTGGTGGGGCTCCTGTGGGGTCCGAGCAGAAGGCCATCGAGAAGATCACTGAGCAGCAGTCTGGTGGGGCTCCTGTGGGGTCTGAGCAGAAGGCCATCGAGAAGATCACTGAGCAGCAGCCTGGTGGGGCGGCTGGGTCCGAGCAGAAGGCCATCGAGAAGATCACTGAGCAGCAGCCTGGTGGGGCGGCTGGGTCCGAGCAGAAGGCCATCGAGAAGATCATTGAGCAGCCTGGCGCCGTGGCCCCTGTCATGTCCGAGCAGAACCCCGAGAAGATCGCTGTGATGTCCGAGCAGGTGGAGCGGAGCTCGAATTCCGAAGACAAGCAGCTGATGGTGGTTGCTGATGAGGATGCTGACGGTGCGAAGTCAAAGCCCAAGCAGGCGACATCAGGTGCTGTGCGATTCGCTGTGGAGAACCCGCAGCTTCTGCACCAGTTTGAGTTCAAGGAGACAGCTTTTGCGATTGTTTCCTTTTTTCTATTCAGTTGTAATAGCATAGCCCGGAAGGAGGGGGTTATGGCGCTGAAGCCGGGCGAGACGGAGCACGACCGGGACTGCAGGTTGGCCCACAACCTGTATGTTCGCTGCATGAAGTCCCTGAAGAGTAACTCTAGCCGCAGACAGCAACAGCTCTCTCTCGATGTTCCGCTTGCTATCTCTCGTAGTAGTAGTAGGGGTTAAAATATGCAAGCAGACCAGGGCCCGATCGCAGGATAGAACGATATGGTCATTCAATATGTGCATGTATACAGTGGGTCCATGTGAAAATGACGTGTGTATATGTCTAAGCATGCAAATAAATACCAAGAGACTATATGTGCGATGCATGTATGTTTTTGTGTATATACTTATATGTGTGCATACATGACATACCATATCCTTATATAGCTACAGATGCACATATGCAAAAGTTTATTTGCATAGTTCGCTTTATATGCATGATTATGTGTTACACGTACATTAGCCGGTATGTATTCTTATTCTTAGCTTTTTGCATTCGTGATTGTAGAATCCATAAACAAGGTCCGAACTGCCCGCCGTCGGTGGCAGAGATGTCGCAGAAGGCTCGTCGCGGCTCCTTGGGGAGCACTACGAAAACACTATGTTATTGCCTAATAATTTACTTTAACACCAGCCCCTATCTCCAGGAGAACACCTTATCTTAAATAATGGCATAACCCTAAACCTCACGACCAGGTGCAGGCCCTATAGCAGCATATAGAGCCCAACGATACCCACATAAGCTGAGTTCCTCGGCTGTGTACCCCGATACCAATCTGTGCTAAAGTTACTCTGGGTTAGCACAAGGGAAAACATTAAGTCTTATGTCTATATTTTACACCAGCCTTAACTCCCGGCAAGCACCTTATCGGAAATAATGACATATCCCTAACAATATGGTTCAGTGTGCAGGCCCTGTAGCAGCATAGTACCATACCACCATACTATACCCCAAATAAGCTGAGTTCCTTGGCTGTGCACCCCAATACCAACCTATGCTAATGTTACTCTGGGCTAGCAAGGCAGCCGAACGATCGAGAACTTGTTCGCGGATTGGGTATCCAACCAGGGAGACTGGACACAGACGACGGCGTTCATGCAAACGTCACAGACTGTGTCTAAGTCAAAGATAGGGCGTGAAGTGTACATCAAGCTCAAGGACCTTATCAAAAAGGAAGGAAAAGAGGAAGCCCTTGAGATCTATCACGAAAAAAAGAGGCTCCAAAGCCTGCTCCCAAAGAACAGCGATGAGGATCCGTTTTGGCTCCCCCATCCCGAACTCCCTGGAAACCAGGCGGAGGGTTCTGAAAAAATCACACACACGAATTTGGGGGGATAAGTGTGATCGAGTTGCTTGACATTACAGGGGTTTTCCATACAGTACTTATCTATCTTCATATAATGGGAAGCATAGAATCAACATAGACTTTGCCAATCTCTACCTTCGAACCTATGCAGGAGTGGGACCTCTTGCGGGTGTGGGACTCTGCGGCCATCGAGAAGGTGGACAAGCACAAGGTCACGACCGGGACTAACTCCGAGATGAATCTGGATGCAGCAGGGGCAGCTGTGTTGTTGTGCCTATATTGCAAGCAGCCATGTGCACTAATTCCTAGACTACTTTAGCTTCGCATTGCTAATAGGGACTAGTGGGATAATATACATATATATATATATATATAGCTCACCCCCCCCCCGTTGACAGACCGCGGGTCTAAAAAACACCGTGCACGACGATATTCTATGAAGCAAAACCTTTACATGAGGTACATAGTATAGCACCAGACGTGCGGCACATGAGTTACGTAACAGTCTTGTGGTAGTATCGGTATTAGGGTGAGTATTATTATTAATATTAGTACTATTGTTTGCTGTAAGTATACGTATCAATATTGCCAACTATAAATTAGTGTTAGTGCTCATGTTCGTGTTAGAGTTAGCGCTAGTGGCAGTGTCAATGTCAGTAATACAGCACCACTGCTACGAGTAGTATCAGTATCAGTCTTAATGCTGGGTTTAACAGCAGCTTATATTCGCAGAAGTGCTAGTATTAGTATCAATATTAGAACTAGTTAGTTTGGATATGTTAGTATATTGATAGTCTCGTATATTAGCAGATGAGTATATCAGTACATCAATGTATTCGAACAGTAAAATATTTGCATACTTGTATACTAGTATATTTTACATGTTAGTACAACTGGTGCATGAATACACTACTATACTGCTGTACTAGCTTACTAGTATATTGACATACCAGTATATTCGAACGTTAGCATATTAGTGTACGAGTATGTGTACTATATGACTGTTTTATCTAATCATTTATAAGTATATCAGTATGTTGGCATATTGGATTGGTATACGAACTTGTCATGTCGGTATTCTTGCATAGTGCAGTAGCCGTATATGAGTACAGTCACATATTCGTGTAGTATACTCATACAACAACGAGAGGTATATTGATACATTGGTATATGGGCATATGACTATGCCAAAGCATTAATACATGAATGCACTGACGTATATATCTGTATCTTAAGATAGTGGTATGTATTTTATGTACATTAGTATATGCAGGTGTCTATTAGTAATGATATTAGTCATCATATCAATATGAATATACTATTGGTGTTCGTAGCAGTATTAATGTCAATATTATTAGAAATAGGACTATTTATACTCGTAATAGCCATAATATGAGTGTTCATGCTGGTAATACTAGTGGCATTCTTGAATATTCAGCAGATTATCAAAGTCCGTACTAGTGTTGGTGATAGCATCACTGTTAACGCACAAGAGTGTTTACGTACTCGTATTCGTAGGAGTATCAATAGCTATGTAAATATTGATGTTAGTATAAATTTTGTGTGAAGTATTAGCAGTAGTGTTAGCTGTATTTTATGTACATTAGTATAAGCAGGTGTCCATTAGTAATGATATTAGTTTTCATATCAATATGAATATACTATTGGTATTCGTAGCAGTATTAATGTCAATATTATTAGAAATAGGACTATTTATACTCGTAATAGCCATAATATGGGTGTTCATGCTGGTAATACTAGTGGCATTCTTGAATATTCAGCAGATTATCAAAGTCCGTATTAGTGTTGGTGATAGCACTACTGTTAACGCACAAGAGTTTACGTATTCGTATTCGTAGGAGTATCAATAGCTATGTAAATATTGATGTTAGTATAAATTTTGTGTTAAGTATTAGCAGTAGTGTTAGCGTTAGTACTATAATATTATTGATGATATACATTCGAAAGAATGTTTGTAGTATTATTACTCTTGATCACGTGAAATTCTAACAGTTGAATACATGAGTGAGTTAAAGGATTTGTATTTTAATATGGTGGTATGCATGTTTATGTACATTAGTACATACAGGTGTGTGTTAGTATTGGTATTAATATACATTATTATCAATATGAATATGGTTATTGATATGCGTAGGAGTAATAAGAGCAATACTAATCAATCTTAGTATTTGTGTTATGCATATTCGTACTAAGCTTTATAGAAGTGTAATATTAGTAGTAATGCTGGTATTAGCTTGAGCATTCAACAAATGATCACTGTCAGTATTTCCAATGGCAATACTATATGTAGGAGTATCAATACATATATGTATATACAGATAGACAGGTAGATTGAGAGATATTCGTTTAAATATGGGCATGAGTATTGACAGCCCTTGCCTTTGCAAGTAAGTCGTGCATGGTCTGTCATCGGATGGGTCACAATCAGCCCTCCTGAGAATCAATTCCAAGGTCCAGAGATTCCAAAATTTCCAAAAGTTCCAAAACTTCCAAAATTTCCGAAATTTCCAAAATTTCCAAAATTTCCAAAATTTCCAAAATTTCCAAAATTTCCAAAATTTCCAAAATTTCCGAAATTTCCAAAATTTCCAAAATTTCCAAAAAGTCCGCCCTTATGTTTTGGAAAAATCCTGTCCACTAGGTCGGGCCGTTTTGGAAATTTTGGAAATTTTGGAAATTTTGGAAATTTGGAAATTTGGAAATTTTGGAAATTTTGGAAATTTTGGAAATTTTGGAAATTTTGGAAATCCGGAAAGTTAAGGGAGAGAATTTTGGAAATTTTGGAAATTTTGGAATTGAGTTTTTGAAAGCTGAGTACCCCCTCCCCCGATCACAGACCATGCACTACGACTGAGTTGAAAGGGCATGGTCTGTCAACGAGTCTTTTGGTGGTTCCACAGATACGTTCGGAGGGCTCAAACTCGATACCCCGGAAAAAGCACGAACACACCGGTGGGAGCGATGTTTTGAAGGGGATGGTCTGTCAACGGGGGGGGGTGACCATATATGTATATAAGTATATGTATGTGTATATATATATATACATGTTGTATATGTGCATATGCATGCATGTCTACTCTTAACTCTGCGGCCTTGAAATGCCCAAAGCTTCTGGCATTTGCAATGCAACTTTAATTTCAGAAGTGCAAACACGCGCCAAAATCTCTGGCTTTAACAGCAAGCTGTTTCTGCCACACACCTGGGGTCGGTGCACGTTGTCCCCGAGAGGGCGGAAGCCAAGCTCCTGCGTGTACCTGCTTTGCCAGGAGTACAAGAAAGGAGAAACCGATCCCTCAGCACTGGGGCAGCGCCGGCAAGCCCTAACAGTCCCTAACAATTGTCAAGGTCTGGACTGGGCAGACAAGTGGGCAGCAGTCACACATTTCAGACACAAGCAGCTCACACAACAGCTTGTTGCGGGCTTGTCGTTGCGAAGCCCAACCCTTACACCTCCAAACGCTGAACTTCTCCATATGTGTTACAGGCCTGCAGGCTCCGCGCGGAGGCAGCGGGGCCGTCGAGTAGCGAAAGGGCAGGTACCTGGGCAAAAGAGTCAGGGCCCTGCCACTTGGGGGAGGCCTTCCACACATGCAGCAACCTCAAGAACAAGTAAGAACAAATGGCACTGCAGCACTCGAATGCCAGACTAAATAGGCTCTTGGTGAGAATTTCCTCTGCCACCAAGAACTGCACCTGAGAAACTCCACCAATACCTCCCAAACAAGAAATCCGGAACATACGAACTGCACAACGGCGGCTAGCATCACACGAACGACCGGCACCTCCGAAACAGAGGCCCGCGTACATAATAGGTATGTATTTGCGTCATGTTCTACCGTAGCTGCTGACCTCTGACCTACCGACTAAATTTGTCGACCTGCCCAACTATCGATCTGCCGACTAACCGGTCAATCCACCAACATATAGATACTGAAGCAGATGGTGCAGATGTCAGCGAGACCCATTCCTACAAAAAGGTGTAGTTATTGGTGTGCATGGTCTTTTGTTCCACGACCCAAAAACTCCGATGAAGCAAGCGGGTCTCGCGGCTCAGGCCAAAGCTTCGTCGTTCGCTGGCCCACGTTCACAATCTGAGTTCGGACCACAATCACCAGTGTCTTACTGTATCTGTTTTCTATTTGCAACGCTGCATCCATTGGTCCATTTCCTTATCATTGCGTTTGTTGGGTGGGTGGCTGGGCAAGTGGGTGTATAATCAAAACATGCATACATACATACATACATACATATGTTCTGTTTATATTTACATACACATATACAGAGATCTTTCTGTCTATGTATATATATATATATATATATATATTATATGGTCAGGC